AGCATATTTGCCATGCCTACCATGGCCTCAAAGAGAGAGAGAGAGAGAGAGAGAGAGAGAGAGAGAGAGAGAGAGAGAGAGAGAGCTCACATTTGTAAGAAATTTAAAAAGTTAATGGAAATATTGCGTTGGTGGTTCCATAGGTAAAGAGAGAGACTCAACACAACGATCACATTGAGCAACGCACACCTTTGAAAGCCGACAACTTCGATAAAGTCGCTATCCTGTTCAAAAATTAGACTTATCCAACCTTATCCAACGGATACGACTTATTGCATCGCCAATGATGCCTTAGACCAGCATTCAGCTTTGCAGATCCAAGTCAAAAGTTCACGTGTAACATGCTCCGACTTTGTCTCTGTTTCTTTTCTTAATTCTGTTATTTGTAAAGGCTTAAAAGATTACGAAAAAAAATTTAAAAATTGTTTTCTCATCAGGATTTTGTTTTTCCATCAAAATCTAAAATGCTATCCAAATTCTAAAAGATAATGAAAAGATAAAAGTACACCTATGTGTCAAATATTGAATATTGTTAAAGTTTCAAGTGTTCATAAAAAAAAGTGAGAGCTCGTATGCGCAAGATTTAAACTAAGCAAAAAGTAAAAAAAAAAGACGAATAACCACATAGTGTAATATTCTTGGCCAACTGATAATAGGAATACAACTTCAACACTTACTATGTTTCGGTTATTTTTGCCTCCTCTAGGGTTGGGCAACATTCACTTTGGACTTTTCTTATGCAAGTCGGATCACCACACACTTCGATTCGAATCGATTTTTTTCACTGACTCAAACTCGAGACATATATTTATCAAAGAAATTATCAAAAAACGCAAAAAACATCTAGCGTCGTTGGAACATGAAACATCAAACTAATGCAAATTTCTTCCATTAAATGAAAACGAGAGTTACTCAAAATGTTTTAGTTAACCAAAGCCTGTATCCATTGCACAATTCATGTAATGTAATCGACCGATCACATTTCCCCCGTAACCTGCATCCTAAATTAACTTTTATGAGTTTCGAAATTCCCTATATATGATAGCTAGGCTTGCTTCTTAGTGGATCATCGTCACGCTATTTATCCGATACATAAAATGCATTCTTTACTCTCGAACCCGCACTAACACACTTTCTAAGTTACAAGATAACTAAATTAAAAGAAAATCTAGACTTCATAATAGATAATCAAACGTTCCTTTATCTTTTTTCGTTAAGAATTTAATTGATTAGTTTATTAGGACCAATGAGGGCTTAATATCAAGTTAGATTTAATAATTATAAAATGATTCGACGAATTACAAATGGATACATAAACTTGATCTCATCTAGATGGTTCCATCAAAAGGAAAGGATTGAGTTTAATATTGCCTTCTTTTGACCAAATCATATATTGGTGGGACCTAAAAAAAAAGAAAAAGGAAAAGAAAAAGAAGTGTTATGAAAGAGGAAAAGGAGACCATCGAGAGCACGCCACGAAGAGAAGAGAGAGAGAGAGAGAGGGGAGGGGAGGGGAGGGGGGGGGGGAGAAGAAAGAAAGAAGAAGGATGAAGAAAGGGAAAGTGGGGTTTCGTGTACACGTCACAGAGACTTCGTCAAGCTAAAATTATATTGATTCGCAGCGCTCAGTAAGTACTCGTGCCCTTCGTTTGTATAATCAAAATAATTTTTGGGGTTGTGGCTTAAATTTAAAGTTTTGTGAAATTTGAGCCGCGGAATTTAATTTTTGAGCTGTTAAGCTATGAGATTATATGGAAATTATGGATTATGGTGTTGTGGAGTTGCGGGGTTTGATGGGAGTTGTTTTGAAGCAATCGTTTAGTCGAACCGAAATTTTAGGGTTTCACGTGTGAGTTCCACATTGCGTTTAGGTTTGAGTAATCGCTTCGAGTGAGCAATTTGTTAGCTCGTAAAAGTCATTTTATTAGCATTTAGGCGTGGTTTGGCCATTTCGTAATTAAGGTAGTGTTTCACTCTGTTTTGACGTCGGTTCTTATTGGATTGATAGGTTTACAAGATCGTTAGTTTGAGTGAGCCGAGTTGTTTGGTTTGGACATTCCCAGGTAAGTGGTTCTATCTCTTTTTTGAGTTTGTGACCTAATATTTCGAAAGTAATATTTTATGAGTTGTTAAAGCATGTTTATTACATAAAAATCTAGATCAGGCATTTACTACGTTTTGGTATTTGAGAATGGTTTGGGAAATATTTTAGGAAATGTTTTGCGAAATGTTATATATACTGAATTGTGAACCTGGTTTATGAAATGGACTCCAAAATGGTTTGAGAAACGCGTTGTGAAATGTATTTTGTTTGATGAACGGGTTGAAAAAGATTATATATGTTTTGTTTTGTAAATCGATTTGCGATATCAATTATCGATTTGGCTTTGATGATTGTCAAGGATATTGTTGTGGATTGGTGTTGATGCTCAGTATCACTATGAGCCTATTGAGGGGCTTGCGGACATGGATACTAGTTTAGGATATCCTTATGGGCCGAGCCACCGGCAATATAAGTGGAGACCTAGCGAAGGGGGGAATCTTGGTCGCCTTGTCACAAGGCATTATGCGTGATCATGGTTGATATCTGAGTTCGAGATTGGTCAATGAAATAAACCATTGAAATTTGATTTGAGATTGACCGATGGAACGGACCATTGACGTGTGATTTTGATGAGATTGATCATTGGGCTGGACCATTAATATTTGTTTTGATATTATTGTGAAATGAATATTTATGCTATAAATATAGCTATGTTGGAGCGTATATAACTAATTCTCTTCTTATAAGTTTGTTATATCCTAAAATTTGGTGTAATGAGTTATGTTTTTGTGTCTTAAACATGCATAGTGAATGTTTGATCTACTTAGAAGAGATATACACTACTCATTGAGCTGTTGTTGCTCATTCCATTCATCTTTCATGATTTTCAGGTTCCTCAAGTAGTGGCCGATAGAACGAAAGTGTTATCGACGGGGACTTTTGGGAGCTGTAGTTTCAAGCTGCGTCCTTAAGGTGGAAGGGCGACCTTGTCACTTCCCCCATCCCCATAGGATTTGGGTGTGACATCTTTTGGTATCAAAGCTTAGGTTTTGATATCTGGGTGTATATTTTATGGGATGTTGTGAGTTTGTGTGTTAGTTTATGGCGTGTTAGTCTTTTGTTAGATACTAAAATGTATGTCTCTTTTGGGGTCGAGGCACATGCCATGATGTTTAAAGGTGTGGAAGACCTTACAGATGCTATGAAGGTTACTATGGACTCAAAGGGTCGTAATATGGTGATTGAGTAAAGCTTTGGTCTTCCAAAGGTGACAAAGGATGGTGTTACTGTGGCAAAAAGTGATGAGTTCAAGCATAGAATTAAAAACATTGATGCTAGTCTTGTAAAGCAAGTTGAAGGAGAGCTGAAACTAAAAGCGACCGGTGGACTTGGATTGGCTATTGAAGTTGGGAATGGAGGAAGCCTAAAAAAAAAGTTGCTGTGCTGGAGTTTGATCATAAGGAAGTTGTAGATAGCGAGGGTAGAGCTGAGGTTGCTAAAGTTTTGGTAGATAGATGCGCAGAATGCTTTCCTAGACGGATAAAATATTGGTGGGACCCAAAAAAAAAAGGGAAAAGAAAAAGAAGTGTTATAAAAGAGGAAAAGGAGACCATAAGCAGAGAGCACGTTGAGAAGAGAAGAGAAGAGAGAGAGAGAGAAGGGGGGAAGAAAGAAAGAAGAAGGAAGAAGAAAGGGCAAGAGGGATTTCACGAACACACTACAGGAATTTTAGGGTTTCTCATACGTGTTCCGCGTTGTGTTTAAGTTTAAATAATCACTTTGATTAAGCGATTTGTTAGCACGTAGAAGTCGTTTTGTTAACATTTAGGCATAGTTTAGCCATTTCGTAGTTGAGATAGTATTTCACTTAATTTTGACGTCGATACTCATTTAATTGATAATATTACGAGATCGTTAGTTCGAGTGAGTCGTATTATTTAATTGTAAATACTTAAAAGATTATGAAAACAAAATTTCTCATCAAAGTTTTGTTTTCCCATCAAAATTTAAAATGCTATCCAAATTTTAAAATGAAAAAATAAAAGTAAATCTATGTGTCAAATATTGTTAAAGTTTCAAGTGTTCAAACAAAAAAGTGAGAGCGCGTATGTCGCAAAATTTAAATTAAGCAAAAAATAAAAAATAAAAGTCCGTCTAGACACACCAATATCAAAAAAGATGAACAGGCACATATTGTAAAATCCTTGGCCAACTAAAAATAGGAATACAACTTCAACACGTAATATGTTTCGGTAATTTTTGCCTCCTCCAGGATTGGGCAACATTCACTTTGGACTTTGCTTATACAGGTTGGATCACCGCACGCTATGATTCCGGTCGATTTCTTTCCCAAACTCAGACTGGAGACACATATTTACTAAAGAAATTATCAGAGAACCCAAAAGCATCCAGCCTCCTGGGAACATGAAACATCAAACTAATGGACGTTTCTTCCATGAAATGAAAATGAGAGTTACTTAAAATGTTTTAGTTAACTAAAGCCCGTATCCATTACACAACTCATGTAACGTAATTGACTTAGCGCATTGTCCCCATAACCCGCATCCCAAATTAACTTTTACGGGTGAGTCTCAAAATCTCCCATCTATGATAGGCTTGCTTCATAGCGTATTATCATCATGCTATTTATCCGATACATAAAATACGTTCTTCACTCTCAAACCGCACTAACACACTCTCTAAGTTACAAGACAACTATATTCAAAAAAAAAAAATCTAGACTTCTTCATAGATAATCAAACTCTCCTTTATCTTTTATACGTTGAGAATTTGATTGATTAGTTTATTAGGACCGATGCGGGCTTAAGATCAAGATATCTTCATTAACTATTAATTAATCGTTCTCACCGGCTCATAAGTTGTTGCGTTGTGGCCTTGGGGTGTTATAAATAGGTCACAAGGGACCTGCAGTTCGCTCCACACAAGCCTTTCTCCTTCACTCTACTCACTCCCACTCTTGAAACCCTAAACTTTCCCTGCTTCACTCATTCCTTTCTCCTTTTCCCTGCATCCGAAAATGGCCGAAAACAATGAGCTCACGCCCAAGGTGGCCGAAAACATGCCCGAGGTGGCCGAAAACGCTGGCCTCACGCCCAAGGTGGCTGAAAACATGCCCGAGGTGGCCGAAAACGCTGTCCTCACGCCCAAGGTGGCCGAAAACATGCCCGAGGTGGCTGAAAACGCTGGCCTCACGCCCGAGGTGGCCGAAAACGCTGGCCTCACGCCCGAGGTGGCCGAAAAAAACATTAGCCCCGCTAACGGGGTGGACAGAATGAAGGCCATGGCCGGAAACAATGACTTCATGACCGGATTACTTGACCTCCTCAAAACCGGCAACAACGACTTCATGAAGATCGTCACCAGCCAGCCAAGCTCCTACACAGAACAAGTAAATGTCAAGTATTGCCTGAGCCTCCTCGAGCAAATCCTCAACCAAGCCATGGACTTTGCCAATGATGTTGCTGACAACACTCGGGCAAAGGTAAAGTAGTGGACAAGCAAGTTCAACGACATGCTATAGTCTCTTTTCCATATACTTGTTTACATGGTTAGTTGGCTGGATCTTAATGCGCGATAGTTTTTCGTGGCAAAATGCCTTTGCTCCTCAAATTAATTTCATATTTTTCTCTTGTCCAGCCAAAGTTTATAAAGATACACAATGTTTACATGCTGTTATGTTCATAATATTCCATAATTAGTACTTACAAGTGAATTCGTTTTTCCAGGGTAACCAAGGCCAGAGCATAAGCTTGACCTCGCCTTCCATGGGAACTTCTGTTCATTTGTCAAAATTCATTAACAAACTATACGGTCAGGTAATCTCATATAAAAAGAGACATTCCTATGTCGAAAGTGGAAATATACAAATGCGGGAGCTCCAGACATTTTTAGATTGTTTTAAAATTACTTAGAGATTAATTTTAGATTACAACTTATACTAAAGTAAAGGCACATTTCTAAGCTCCAGACCTTTTTAGATTGTTCTAAAATTACTTAGAGATTAATTTTAGATAACAATTTATACCAAAGTAAAAGCACATTTCTATGCCGTGCTAAAATTGTTCATTCTGTCAGGAAATAAGAAGCAAACAGTGGGTTCATTAAATTATTCGTTGCGTCCTTTTCTATGGTATTTTTCTCGATCTTGTTACTTCCCACATTTAATGTTGAAAACTATGTACGCCACGACAGATTATGGCCCTGCAAACCAACGATGTGCGGCAAACAATGAAATCGCTTTTCGACGAGTTGTCATCCTTTTCATGGGATGCCAAGGCTGTGCTGACATTATTAGCTTTATCCATACACTATGTCGAGAACTGGCGTCGCGCTCAAATTCATGCATCAGACAACCTTTTATGCTCAATGGCCAGGTTGAGAGGCTTAACAACTTGCACGTCCTCCGTCACACGGCAGACCAAGGTTTTTGTTAATCTGATCAAGGAGATTTTGAATTTCACCAAGTGCATTGTTGAGTTTGCGAGCAACTCTAAAGACTTTGGAGAAATGTCAGCATCGATTGACATAAAAGCCAATTTTGGTTACATCATAGTCAGTGTACTTGGCTGCTCCGTTGTGTTCAGGAGCATGATTAGCGAGGGCAATGAGTATGTTATACCTTATCTTTGCTTTCAACTACCTTTATTAACAGACTTGGAATTAATTCCAACCTCGCTCTCTCTCTCTTTCGCAAACTGTTTCACATCAATGCTCAACCGGTTTCTTGATGACTACAGGTTCCTAGAGCAACATCTGTCGGCCTTATTGGAGCAGGTCAAGAAAATATCTGAATCCTTCAAGAAACAAGTGCAAGATTTTGAGCAAAACGGTGAGATCATTGCTGTTTTCAAACAAAATATTGTTCACTCATAGATGGAATGAAGCGTTCATGCCTCTCCTCCAGATTCCTTTTTTGTATACACACAGATAATTTTTGTCACATCCATATCTGGAACAAAAGTACCTAAATTAAAGTGATTCACATTATGCAGAGGAGGAACATTTATATGAGAAAATTGAGGAAGTTTCCAATTCTTGTACTGATGTTGTGGAGCTTATGGCCGCACTGTTTTGCACCAAGAACGATACGTTGACAGTTTATCATTGTTCCGAGAGGACAACGGTTAGCTTCTCAGTACAATAATCTTCGTGGACTTTGATTACCGGTTATTATTGTATATCAATGTCACGAGAAGGGATTGCATATCAACTTGCAAGTAATTAACTACATTTGAATTCTTAGATAGTTCATTTGTTGGCATAGAAAAATGCAAAAACAACAGCGTGGTTTGATCACTAGATGTTATAGGTAAAGGTGGAGGAATTGAAGAACAAGAGCGTGATGCTGCTTATTTCGGACTTGAACTTGTCGAACGACGATCTAGCCACCCTTACCGGCATCTACAATGTGAGCACCTTTGATAATTACGAAATTATGTGGGTTCCTATCATGGAGGCACATAATGAGTCGATGCAGAAGCAGTTCCTGGACATGAGATCTCGGATGCAGTGGTACACATGCACCTCCAAGGTCAGCAAGACGGCAGCAAAGTTCATCCAGGAGAAGTGGCAATTTAGGCAGCAGACAAAGGTTGTCGTGCTGAACGAAAAGGGGAAGGTGGTGAACAAGGACGCGATCTCGATGATACGCCTTTGGGGATGGAAAGCCTTCCCGTTCACGGAGTCAAAGGGCAACGAACTCTGGAACATGCAAGTAATCAACTGGTTCGAGCTCGTGGTGAACAAAACGATCTACCCTCATATCCAACAATGCGTAAGTTACAAATGCAGTATGGTTTCAATTATCGGGGCAATATTTATATCATCCATCCCCGATTAGAAGAACCTTTCTCTTACTAGACTTCTGATTAGTCTTTAACATGCTCGTTGAAGCACCCGATCTAGAAATTTAGATACATCTAACGTCACAACTACCGAATTCGCACAAGAATCATTCGCAAGATAGATTAAAAGTTTCCCGACTTAAAACAATTTATATTCTTTTTCTTTTGACATATCCTCTGTCTTGATTGTTGGCCAGTTTGAAATGAAGGAGCTCCTATTCTTGTACGACTCCGCTGAAGACTCTAGGACTGTCCGTGAGGTTGAAGAATACCTGGAGAAGATCAACGGCTATTCAGTCTCCTACATAGCCATCAGAATCAGCACCAAGAGAGAGCAATTCCTGACCCGCCTCGAGAACTGCATTTCCTCAAAGATGCAGGCGACTCCGGACAACTATGATTCTCTGACGCAGGAGCTGCTCGAGCTCTACACCAACTACAAGAACCAAGGCGGGTTTGCCATCGTCGCGAGAGGGTCGAGTGTGGTCGTGAACACTCGTCTCACGGATTTCGCGACAGTGCTGTCGCAGCACCAGACGTGGATCATGAGGGTGAATCAGACACAGGCTTTCGAGGCTGTCTTCCAAGAGCACTACAAGCAGGTCATTGTGAAGCCGCGCTGCCACCGTCTCTATGTCCCCAACATGGTCGGCAACGTACCGGAGCGCATCAAGTGCACCGTGTGCTCTCAGTACATGAAGACCGCTGTCACCTTCGAGTGCTGCCACAGTCTGCATTGACTAGCCAACGACGCCATCGAGTCCAACACCTTCGGTCGGGGCTCTAGAATAAACACGGACTGTTTAGCTCGGTCGCGTTTCTACGTCATTTCTTTCCCTGTTGGTTTGATGTTGCTTTCGATTTTGTGTGGTTGGAGTATGTAACATGCTTGTAGGTGTACTATGCAGAGTTTGATGTACTCTGCAATGTCTGCATGCAGACACCGTGTGCTATGAATAAAAGCTTTTATGATTTTAATATGGTTCATTACTTACATTTTCGAGGCATACAAGATCAGACTTTTAAGTGATAACATCGATAGCTTTCATGTTATTTCCACAAGGTGGGATAATATGTCATTTTATCACCTCATCTTAGATACCGACAACACACTGAGAACTTTCTATTTGAGTGGCGAAACAAATTGCGAGCTCTCTAATTTCCTCCTTCACATGGTATGGTATTTCAATAAACGTACTTGGAGCCGGTCCCAATCTGGCGGATCTGGGATGCACTCACTTAGTGAACAGTAGATACTTCGTTGACACCATAAACTGAACATTCTAACAGCAATCAAATGATAAACATATTTTGCCTTAAATCTGATCAAATAAGGATGTTAACATATTTTGCCTGCTCCATCCATTTACGTTCCTTTATGCAGACCCACCTTTTCCTCGAAGAAGTTGAGTCTTTACTACAGTGCAACACTTTTAATTAGTCCATGAAGCACCCCTCTAGTCAGATTGGGGTCCTTTTTATGTATTTATTTCTTTTTTCTTCTACGTCTATAGTGGTCTCAAGATTCACGAATGTCATGTGCAAACGTTTCTCCTTCTATACCTCCCGTTGCCATGATAAACAAATCACCTTCATGGTCGACCTACAACAAATTAAATCAATCAGAGGAAATGTTAGTCTCGCCTAGTTACAACATAGATACCGTTGGATAGAGCACACCAATTTTTACCACGCTAAGTGAAACTGGAAAATCAATTATCGTTTAATTCTACTGCTACCACAGATTGGATGAAACAAGACAGGCAGACAACAGAAGTAAAGCGAAATTCAACACCATCATGATGGATGTAATGGAGTAGTTTCAAACATTATCATGATTGTTGCGTAGAACACCAAGAGATGCACAAATTGAAGCACAAATAGTAAAAGATGAAAGCAAAATCAAAACCACACGAGACACAATATATATGTGGATACCCAAGACAAGAAATGTCACGCCCCGAACCCCAACGGGCTCGCGACACCCCTTCCACGGTCGTATTGAACACGACGTCCCAGGATGCGTCGCCGACCCAAACGAAACACCCAACGATAAAGGCAAGCGGAAGCGAAATTAAATAACCCAAACAATAAATAATGACAAAGGGATAGCACTATCATACAATCAATATACACATTTTATAAGAATACTTGGCAGATACAAACAGCAGAAACACGCTCATCAAAAAGGGGGTAAAGGTTGGGTAACCTACTTCGCTATACAAAACGGGGGCAACCAAAAAGGTGAAATGAAACATCAAATGCCCAAAGTCACTCCCGGTCTCCGAACAGCATGTGACGACTATCCGACACTCCAGTCCTGAAAATGTTTAACAACGGGGGATGAGATAAATCTCAATAAGCAGACCCCTAAACCCCACATAGGCCAATGCGTACCCAGACAAGTCTCAACGTGCGACCTAACCATCGACGTACTATAATATACACAAACGTACTTACCTCGCTTCTAATCATGCGCCAACTCTGCATATTAGTCAAATCACCATAAGTAATAATAGTCCATGAACACATCACAATCATTCGAGCGCCATACACACGTGCGTTCATCCAATTCAACCCAAACACATTTCACATGCGCATCCATCCAACTTTCACACGACCCGAGTCAACACCCCACAGGTCAGCCCTCCGATCAATCCGGGCTCTGTCCCGGGTCAACATCCCACAAGACCTTTCAAAAACAAACTTTCACACGACCCGGGTCAACACCCCACATGTCAGCCCTCCGATCAATCCGGGCTTTGTCCCGGGTCAACACCCCACAGGACCTTTCAAAAACAAACTTTCACACGACCCGGGTCAACACCCCACAGGTCAGCCCTCCGATCAATCCGGGCTCTGTCCCGGGTCAACACCCCACATGACCTTTCAAAAACAAACTTTCACACGACCCGGGTCAACACCCCACAGGTCCTTTCTCACAACCCGGGTCAACACCCCTCAGGTTGGCAGCCCTCCGATCGATCCGGGCTTGTCAAGCATACACGCCACATAATTCAATCAATTCCATGGCATTCACACGTTCAAATATCACCCAAGTGTGTCCAGACAACCACAATGCAATTCACCATACTAGCACATTAAAATAGCCACGATCCCACCAATTAAATTCACGCTTGCGCACCAACAAGCGGTCATCCGAAGGATGGCAACTGCTTTGTCATCAAAACATCACTTGAGCACCCAATTTCAAACATGGAATCAATCCATAAATCAAGCAATCATTAGCCACACTTAGCACGCTACACCGACACAATATATCCTACAATTCCACTCTAAAACTTGTTCATTAACAATCCATCGGACTAGCCATTATCACGGCTCATGACAAACCCTAACTCAGTCCTGAAACCATCCACAATACGCCCATAAATCAGCCATTGTCACACACACATTGGGCACTAAATCAGCCCGCTAATCAAGCAACATTCTACCGTCACAACGCTCGCCATTTCCCACACATTTTAACCCACATTCCGCTCACTAGATTCACCAACATCGTCCGCCGAACCAGCAATTGACTCAGCCAATAACAGCCACTAAACAAGCCTCTAAACCATCATAAATCACCCACTAATCCAGCCATGAACAGCCCATACGATCAGCCACCAAATTAGCCCTTAATCCGCACTAATTAACCCCAAAACGAGTCAAATGATACCCGAAGTCCTAGACGGAGTTTAGGGAGTCGCTTACCTCGGGCCTAAGTGAGAACAAGCCGAGCAAGGGTGGCGAGGGGGACCGGAACAGCAACGGCAGCAGCCTCGGCTCAGCCGCAACTCCGGCGAACGCGCGGTGGCTCACGGCGGCGATGAATGGACGGCTGCCACACGGGAGAGAAAACGGACAGGGGGCTGAAGCAGGGGCGGCTGTTGGGCTCACGGCAGGAGGGCGGCCAAGCGACGGCGACGGCGGCTAGGCGGCGGAGGTTCGGCCACGGCCGGGACAGTCCGGCCAAGGTTGAGCTGGAGTGGCCCGGGCTGTCCAGGCGAGCACGGCGGCTGCTGGTGGCGGCGGAGCTGCTGGGGAAGCCGGGTGGTGGCGGACGGAGCAACGGCGGCAGCCGAAACAGCGGTGCATAGCGGCTGGACGAGGCGGAGCCGAAACAGGGGAGACGTCGGGGATGAGAGAAATAGGGGGAAAGGGGAGGTGGTGGCGGCCAAGGGGGCAGCTGGGCGGCGGAGGTGGCTGAGGGGAGAGACTGGGTGGTGAAGGCAGAGCAGCGGCGGCCGGAACGGCGGCACGCGGCAGCGGCGAAGCCAGCGGCCGAAACAGGGGAAAGCACCGGGGAAGAGAGAAACAGGGGAAGGGGAGGTCTCGCGGTGGCTAGAGGCGGCACGGCGGCGTCGCGAGCGGCCGGGCGACGGAGGATGGGCCGACGAGCGGCTGGGCAGCGCCGGACTGCGGCGGGCGCGGCGGCGATTTGCTGCTGTGTGCGATAGGGAGGAGAAGAACAGCCAAGCCGGAGGAGGGGAAACGGCCGGACGGGCGGTGGCGCGGCTCGGTCGGGGCGACGACGGCGCGAGGCGGACGGTGAGGGGCGGTCGGCGAGCTGCGAGCGATGGTCGGGCGAAGGAAGAAGCAAAAGCAGGAGTCGGGGGCAGAAGAGACGAAGAAGAAGAGGAAGGGAAGAGGAAGAAAACAAAAAGAAAAGAAAAGAAAGAAAGAGAGAGAAGGAGGAGAGGTGAGCGGGAAATAGGAGAGGGGACGTCTGCGTGCATGGGCAGACGTGCGCAGACGTGGCAGAGGGAGGAGAGAGAGAGAGAGTCAAAGCAATGATCGCGATCCAACGGTCACAATTCAGATCCGAAAACAATCTAACGGTCCACGAAAATCCCAATTATAATTTAGGAAAATGGCCAAAAGAAAATAACCCAAAACACACTACGAGAGAGGTCTACTAATCCAAATCCGCACCCAGTCAAAAATCCACTTCTCACATATCCCGGGTAATATCGAGGCTGGCCACAATAATATCGACACCATCCAATTAAATTCGTCCTGGAACTCCGAGAAATTCGACACCAAAGTTTGGGCTCTAAATAACGGCCAAATTCGATCGAGTGCGATTCTAGCAAAATCTCTAATTTAAAAATAATAACCCGATAGTGATCAGTTCCGGGCAAGATTTTATTATAAGCGCACTGACGAAATACCAGTTTTATAAATCCCAAAAATGGGTCGAAATTCGGAATGTCACAACTCTTCCCCCCTTACAAAAATTTCGTCCTCGAAATTTACAATCCAACCGAACTATTCAAACAAATGGGGGTATTGGTGTCGCATCAACTCTTCGCTTCCCCACGTCGCACCTTCGGTTCCATGGTGCTCCCAAATCACCTTGACTGTCTCAACCGACTGTTGTACTAACTCTAGACCCGTGATGCTACTCTCACCAACTTCATCCCAACAAACCGGTGTTCTGCAAGCTCTGCCATACAACGCTTCAAACGGTACCATTCTGATACTCTGCTGATAGCCATTGTTATGGGCAAACTCAACCAAAGATAACTGTTCTTCTCAATTGCCCCTAAAATCCAATACACATGCTCGCAGCATATCTTCCAAAGTCTGAATCGTCCTCTCAGACTGGCCATCTGTTTGCGGATGATAGGCCGTGCTAAACTGTAACTTTGTTCCTAATGCCATATGAAGACTTTTCCAAAAAGCGGCAATAAACTTGGGATCACGGTCCGAGGTGATCGTCACTGGCACTCCATGTAGATGAACTATCTGTTGCACGTACAGCTCTGCGTACCTTTCTAACGCGAAGTCCTTTCGCATTGCCAGAAAATGTGTCGATTTTGTCAACCGATCTACTATAACCCAAATTGAATCATGGCCCATCTGGCTTCTCGGTAATCCCATTACAAAATCCATCATGATGTGTTCCCACTTCCATTCAGGGATTTCCAATGGCTACAACATTCCACCCGGCTTACAACGTTGTGCATTCACT